TGCTGCATTGTTTTTGCACCCAAAACACTGAAGGAATGTTGCAAATCAGATAACGATACAAAGAGGACCAAAAATGTTGCAATAATGCACACTTTCTGTTCTTGATGATGGTTGGTTTAAGTGACGTGACGTGACGTGTGGCCAAGTATGGTGTCCCATACTCAGAATTTGTGCTCTACATTTAACCCAACCAAGTGCACACACACACAGCAGTTAGTAGGGAACACACACACACACACACACCATGAACACACACCCTGAGCAGTGGGCAGCCATTTTTGCTGTGGCGCCCGGGGAGCAATTGGGAGTTTGGTGCCTTGCTCAAGGGCACCTCAGTCATGGGTATTGAAGGTGGAAGAGTGCGCTGTACATTCACTCCCCCCCACCTATAGGTAGCCAATAGGTAAAAGATTCCAGAATACTACCACACTCTGACATACTTTACCAAGACCATGTTCCAGGCACCTGAATTGGTCTTTGCCAATTCCATAATGCTTAAAGTGCACTTTTCTACACTGCATGTTTGACTTCATTTACATATCCACAGCACGCTGCTATTTCAGCTCACTTAAAGCCTAGTTAAAGTAGATTGCTGGTGGTTAGTGAAAACAAAGCAGATTTTTACAATGAAATATCGCACACAAAACTGTTCAGTGAATTTGGCCCACCATCTTTCTTTCTATAAATGTATCCTCTTCACCTAAAGGGTAAAAAGAAATATAATGCATTTCCATACAGTCTCAATGGACATGTCTTTCAATGTTTTCTTTCCTTTTCATGTGCAATTTCAAACAAAGTGGGTATTTGATACTAGATGCACATTCATGCATTTCCTTTTTACATTTAGGCAAATGCTTTTATTCAAAGCAGATTACAATGCAATCAAGTAACACACTTTATATACATGATGTAGCTAGCATCATAACTCTACCAACTTAGCTGCAGGGACAGACAAAAAGCTTGTTGCTGCGCACAGCAAATGCTGAAATAATGTACATACTTTACAAACAGGATACTAATAATAGTATTTTCCCGTTGCCTACTGTATGGACAGAAGCTCTCACTTCTCTTCATACTACAGTGAGATTAGAGCATTAGAGCTGTCAAGCACATTGTCTCCTCAATACAACTTATTTACACCACATGCCAACAAAGCATTATCGCTCTTCGAGGCACACATTGTAGACGCGTACACAGTGCCAGCGCAGTCCAAGCTCACAGGAGACTGGTGGACTAATCTGGCAGAAAAACAGTCAAACAGCTTTGGCTTAATACTCCCTCGCTGTGCTCGACAGACTGCATTTAGTGAGACAACTCCACGCTACAGGATAGGGCTCAACAGTCTACTATCGAGTCAAAGGCCTCACTCAGAGCAGCAGATGTTTGACGCTGTGCCGAGGTTCGGACCGATGGACGTCCTGCTCGAGGCAATAAGACAACTTCACTTGGCATTTCCATTGTGACTGCAGAGGCATTTTGCACATCGGCTAATCAGAGATTTGTTTTTGCTGAGTATCAGACAGTTGAAGAACAGCTGAAGAACTAGGCCAGTATTATGTTTGTTCAAAATGGAGTGCTATTTGAAAAGACCCATGTTTCATTAAACAAGTGGGTCACAGGCTGAAAGTGCTCACTTTAGCCCACAGTGCTCCTCCTGATGCTGTGACTTTCAGCTTGCTGTCTTATAAAAAATAAACAAATAATAGTCAGTGAAGTGTTTTGTATCAGTATTGTTTTGCAATTGAAATTGAACACCAGCTAGTAACCTAGTAACATCATCACAGAAAAATATATGACTGTTGCAGACAACAGCAGAAAAATAACTAAGGTATAGAAAGTCCACAAAGTAAAATAACCCTGAATTGTGAGACCAATCAAGATCCATGCAAACCCTGATTAGATACCGGAGCACCGTGTTATTTGACTAGCAGCTTCTATTAAGGCCTTGAGCAGCTTGATTGTCTGTAAGCTGTATTTGTCTTGAGGAGAGATCTGATCTAACTCTTTAAGACTACACATACCAACAGTCGGAAATAAATGAAAGAACAATCAAAAGATCAAGCTTGAGTAAAAATTTAAAAGACAGGTTCAATCAGCAACAACGCTGTGGTTGATGACATCATTAAAAATGTATTACTTTAACCAATAACAATCTAAAAGCACAATAGTACTGTTCAAAATTGTGCAGTCAGGCTTTAAAGAAATTTGATTAAAGATAATTTATTAGTATATATTGCATAATATATGAATACTATATACATATAAATATTATAAAATAGAAAAGTTATTTTAAATTCTAATAATATTTCACAATACTACTGTTTGTACTAGGGCTGTTAAAATGGCTGAAAACTAAATTTGAATTGTGTACTTAAATATTATCAAAATTCGAATTATATTCGAATTTAAAATGCATAATTTCAGTTACGGTGAAGAAAAGCTTCACAAGAGGGCGCATCGAGCAAAATATTACTAATGCACATTTATTCAAAGCATAAGATTACATGACTATCTGTGAAAAAAAGTGCATAATGTTTAAAATAATGTTTATAAACCAATTATAATTAAGTTGCTTAAACAACTATAAAAAAACAGCATCATGTTTTCCTCCAAAAGGCGGAAAGTCAATCAAACAGAGTACATTTTTCATTTAAAAACATGTGATGCAGTGATATGGGGAAAAACCCGCCATAAAGTCTCGATATATGTTTTTTTCAAAGTTAAACTTGTATTCATTTTACATGGCTTTCTAAACATGCGGCTCCTTTGTGCGACATGCGAGTGCAATATTTCCGCAATATTTTTAATGAACAATGCAGCAGCGCCGCATCTAGTGGCTTCAACTGGATAGGCTAATAAAAACATTATAATGCAATAACACTTACATCGTCATCGCATCTCGTGCGCCACTGATAAGGCTGCCTGCCTCCTTAACGCACAACTAAAATTTGAATGCAACGTTTTCGCATTCAAATGTGGATTTTTATTTTAAATTCGACGAATATTTTAAATTCGAAAAAATTGACAGCCATAGTTTGTACTGAATTTTTAATAATATAAATGCAGCCTTTGAACATGAGCGACTTCTTTCTAAAACTTGCAAAATCTTGCCAACCCAAAATATTTTGAACGGTAGTGTATATTTATAAGTCATGTCATGGGCTTAGGAGCAGTGGCGGCTCGTCGGGAGAGGCAGGCATAATTTTGAGGTGAAAATGGGAGGAGGACGATTTCATGTTAATAAAATTCACAATTCATTTCAGTTCATGTCTCAGAATGTGTATTTTTTGTTTGTAATTTCACAGTTGTAATATCATAACGTGAAAGCGCCGCTTTTCTATCGCGGATGTGCTGAATCTGCTGATGTAATTACAACCGCTAATGATAGAGAAGGGTAGGGGGAGGCAGGGGGAGCGCGGAGCTCTCGTGCCTCCGTTGGTAAAAAATTAGCCAATCAGCATCGAGTGTTCACTTTCAGCGCTGAGGAGTGTTGAGAAAAGAACCCTCTCAAGGTAGGCTAGCCTCCCTTCTGATATCAACCAATCATCACAGAGAGTAGCGATATTGAATATTTGATTGCCAACAGATTTACCAAGCTGTCATTCAAACAGTACAAATTTAGGGAAAACAGCCTAAGCTGGATATAGGCTACAGCAGTTGGCTTAATTAAATGGCGCAACAGGCAGCTCTCTTTTAACACAGACTTTTAAGAAGGGATGGATGTTTACTTCAAGTGATAGGCCAGGTAAGTGAAGTTATATTATCTTGCTGTATGCATGTCCTTTTATTTACATTTTCTGACTAAAAGCAACCAAAAGGCCATTTTAAAGTGGTTAAGCAAATAATATAATAATAATAATCGGCAGGGATCCCAGACGTTACAATAACCAATAACGTTACAATTAGTGTGCCTCCTCTATTTTAAAACCCACGAACCACCACTGCTTAGGAGCAAAAGCATTTGATGACCTGACATCCAGATCATCACTGCCTGTGCTGTCTCCGCTCCACTTTACTCTAATTAAATATTCTATGCGTCTAACCATGTCCGTTGGCAGCTCTCGTCTAATGTGGGAGAGAAGCGCCTGAACTGCTGCATGAAAAAAAAAAACAGGGTTTGGGGGAACTTGCAAAAATGACTTGTGATAGACCAGGAAATACAAAATAGCTACGGAAATATGAGTATGTAGAGCAGTAAATTTACACATTTTCTATTTTATAATAATTTCTCAAGGTCGCTTACACGTGCTGCACTACAATATGAGGGGGTCCAGGGGTCCCCCTGGTTGAGGTCTCCAGTGCTCTGCTCACACTGATGGTATTGATACTAAAACCAATTATGCATAACTTTAAACCTGACATCATCCTGCACAACAGAATCTCTCTGACAAAGCAAGCAATGTGGGAGTCTTATTGACTGAACAGCTGAAGGACATTTGATATATTGAGTTTTCAGGCTAGATGAATAAACACACAAAATATGCTTTGCAGCAACAACAAGAGGACAATACAATGGAGCCATTCAATTCAATTTGAACATTGAGTGTAAACAGTGATTAGAAGCACTTATCAGCCTCTGAAAGGTCAAACTGATTGCATATATAACCCATAAAGTCTGTTTTATTATAGTATCGGTGTGATTTTAATTACAGGCTGAATTCAAAGCTTGTGACAACTTAACCCTTTGTTTACTTTGCAGTAGGGAAATAATTTAGTATTTAGATCTGAGTCTCCTGTGAATGTGGTTACACTAAAATATTCATGATGGAGTATGCCGGGAAGGGACATCAAAAGGATTTCGCGGAGGAGACTAAAAAACATGCGTTTAATGACATTTGATGGCTTAATGACAAGTTGGATGGTGAAGATCAAGGAGAGATTGAAGGGTGTGAAAAACATCTTTAGTTTTAGCTGGTGTGGTGCTAAGTGGTGATGCTAAGTGGTGATGGTGTTGTGAGACAGATTGAGTTAAGGCAGAGGTGTCGCTCCACCAGACCCACCTGATGCTGCTTATGCTTCCAGTCTCAGATCCCAGCTTGCATCTCTCCAGCTGAGTGGCAACAATCTGCCTCTCAGCCTCCAACTCTCTCGTCAGTCGCTCAAATTGCAGCTCCTGCAAACATAAAGCAGACAGAGCATATGTGTAAAGCCCTAAAGGAATTATGGAATTGATTCTGTCTATAACATGTACTACACGTGCACTTACACATGCTCCAGTAACTACTACGCAGAGCATGTGTGTGTGTGTGTGGGATGTACAGACACTGTGAGGCTGTGCAGCCACTCAGGGCTTTTCTTTACATATCGATAAAATGCACTTGCATTTTCTTTCTTAAAAAATGATCATAAATCTAGTCTCAGGTCAATAACTTTATTAGGAACTGCCATTTAAACATGGTCAAACTGTAAGAATGGCTGTCAGACCCTTGCTGATGTAAGTGGGCGCACAAACCATCTATTAAAGCAAACATCTGTCACGACTTGTGTGTTTTAAGACATTTACTTTTTATTTTTTCTTCTCCAGAAATCTACATGGCAAAATATATGCGGAAGGCTACTTGTAGTATACCTTCAAAACAAATATATTACGAACAAAATCTTGATGTGTCATCTTTTGTGACAGGTAGAGTTTTACAGGGAGATGGAAACTAGCTTTTTATGATGCTGCAAGGAGAAAACAGGTAAATACTAGTTATATAATTTTTTTATTATTATTATTATTATGTTTGGCAATGAAGCTGTATTTTTGCATCCTTTTTTATGAATAAATAATAATAATATACACTACTGTTTAAAAAGTTGAGGTTCGTGTGATTTTTAAAAGAAAGTCTCTTCTGCTCACCAAGGCTTCTTTTATTTGACCAAAACTACAGTAAAAACAGTAATATTGTGAAATAATATTACATTTTCAAAAAATAAATAAAATAAAATTTAAATGTAATGTATTCCTGTGATGGCAAAGTTGAATATTCAGCAGTCATTACTTCAGATCATTCAGAAATCATTCTAATGTGCTGATTTGGTGCTCAAAAGATTTTTCTGATTATTTTCAGTGTTGAAAACAATTGTGCTGCCTAATATTTTTGTGGAAACCATGATACATTTTTCAGGATTCTTTGTTGAATAAGAATATCAAAATAATTTTTTAAAATAGAAATATTTTGTAATATTGTAAACATCTTTACTAGCACAATTTACCGCTTCCTTGCTGAATAAAAGTTTTAGTATCTTACTGACCCCAAACTTTTAAACGGTGGTGCATATATATATACTTAATTTTGGGCCCTGGCCATAATGAATCAGCTATCTGCAAAGTACAATGATTAAAAACTGAAAGAGTACATTCTTTTCAACTTCTCCACAGTTTCTCCAGACATCCAAAGGCATTATTCTGAACTTTGATAGTCACTGGACCATTCCAGCACTATACACCCCTCCCACTCCTCTCTTAATTAGATATGCGCTGCTTAACATTTAATGACAAACTTGTCAATGCTAAATCAGAGATAAAATCCCAGAGCTCCTGTTTAAAGTAATCACTGTGAAAATCCAGTCAGAAACACTGCACTATGTGCCTGCGCCCGGGGCTACGACAGCCAATGCGACATTGCCACTTCTTTTGTGACAAGGCTGAAATGAGTTCACTCAGCCACAAGGTCAAAGACCCTCTTCCCCAGAGCGGTTAATGCTAAGAGGGCTCCAGAACGCATCACCTGCTATTTTGGGCACAAACCCAGATGAAGGCTACAAAAATATGTTGAAGAGCGCTCTATGAGCCATGACAACTAAAAGCGCTAACTGCAGCATTCAAACACTTTTCAACAATCATTATACAAGTCTAGAGTCTCACTTAATGACTTTATGGCAGACGCATTTCTGTGCATTTGCAACAAACAGGCAAGCTGCTTAGCTCTGCAACTGAAAAAGCATCAGCAATTACAATACAAACAAGCATCATCTCTGACCTTTCTTATTGCACATCAATATGTTCAAGATGGAGCCGCAAACAGAGAACAACAACTGATTAGACTCTAACAATCTAACCATCAACAACAACAAAACTACTCCAGCTTTTAGTCCCACACTAAAACACCTGTTGCCTTCACAAATAAAATAACACCGCTCTTACCGGCACATGTACCATACTCCAGAGGCAATCCGCGCTGAGAAAGAGCCATGTCTGCGCATCACTATCCCACTAGACTTCATTCATCTCCACTTATCAGGAGAGTAAAGTCATTAGAAAAACTACAAGAGTGGTAGTGACTGCCTTCCAGCGGGAAAGCAAAAAGTGGAGTGCAGTCAGGCACAAAGGTCGTCATGGCAACAGTGAATTTAGAGCCCCTTTGGCATTATTTATGCAACACTGCATCACAAAGGGTCCCTCCCACCAGCCAGCCAGCCAAATACCACTGCCCTCCAGTCACTCTTCCGACTCCTCCTAAACTCTTCCCTTCTTTCTGACGCCATCTGTGCTTCACTCTGAAGAGGAGAAGGGGGGAGATGCGGAGTCTCGTTGAAAGGATCGCAGAGCGGCAGAGAGAAAGAGGTATTTTTTGAGGGTCCAGGCAGCAAAAAAAGTACCGTTCCACTGTGCAATGCTAAGCTTTGTGCTTCCTCTAGGGATCCTAACAGGCTGGTCTGCATCAGTAGCCTGCAATGGACAGGCTCTCTGAGCGGGGAGTAGCCTCCACTTGTCACAAAAGTTGGTTAAATATAGCAGTCCACACAGACAGAAAAGCACTCGGCTAGGACAGCAGACATGTCACCTGGACCAAAAATGGTGATTCTTTAACATTCAAAGCATTGTTTTTTCTGCATCTATACTACAATATAAAAAATATTTTTCGAAGAGAAAACAGAGATTATTGGAGTTTGTAGTTTGTAAATATTATTTCACTCTTTCTACTTGAAAATTTCACATCTAATTCAATGCGTTACTTGCTGTTTCTTTGTAATTAATTGTACAATTTCTGAGTAAAAATTGTTTGTATGCCAATTTTAGTCTATTTAATCTGATAAGAACTCATAAAATGTGTTTTGCATGGTCAGCAGTGTGAAAAGAATGTGAAACAGTGTATTCCCATTATCTTACATAATAACTCCAGAAAAGGCCGTTAAACCTATTTGTTTAGAAAATAAATCGCCATGGGACTGAGAAATTGATTTGACTGCTTCAAGAGCCCAATGTGGTCTTCTGGCCTAAATGCCTAATTGTGCCCTGTGGACAAAGACTGACATTTAAGTTTCTTCATTGGTCCATTTGATTGCCAAATGTCACTTTGGGTTTGCCTCACGAGTTCCTTTAAGGATTTAACCCAATTTCTATAATTTCACGGAGTTAAATGAGTCCAGAGCCAATCCACAGCCTGACCACACCGACTGAGAGCCATACAAAACAGTGTTAAACAGACAGGAATGACTCGGATGAACTAATTTGGTCTGTAAAATGTAAAGAGAAAATTGCATGTATTCCTGGTTGAAAATTACATCATCCAAAGGACCTCAGGATAAGCGTCAAATAAACTTGAACAGCCTTTTTGTAGATAATTTTGTCAAAACAGCCTCAACTTTTATGAATATTGTAAGTAATTAAAGAACTGCTTCATTTGATTGAGTATGTGACATGAATTATAATGTGATTAAAAACATTTAAATGACTTCACTTCTGGCTAAAGCAAATCACTCCTAACGGACAAAGATATAATGAGCTGATTAACATGCTTTCCTTGAAATAAAAAATACTAAAATTGCAGAGTTAGAATTAAATGGAAATAAATATTTGACCTTGCTGTCCTACCCCTTACAAAAACTGGCACTTTCCCCAAAAAAATCCTTGCCATGATCATAATAAAACTACATATGCCAGTGGCTTTTTATGAATAATTAATGTGTCATTTTAAAAACACTAAGATAAATTTCTTTAATTAACACCAAATTAAAGGGACAAAAAAGCTGATCTTCTGAAAATTCTGAAAAGAACACCTGTACTTTATACATTAATAAGACTACTATAATCACTATGTCAGCATAATCTGAGAAAGTGATACTCAAAGGCAAATAATAAAAGTGTTAATTATATAGAAGAAATCACACTAAGCAACATTTTACTGCAAATACAGTATTTACTAGTTCTTCCCATACAGTGAGAGCACTGCACATATGTCCAGGTTGTTAAACATGCTCTCCCTGACCATCGCATGTGATTCTGATTAGCACAAGTGAAACAGGAGAATTTTAATGCGAGAGAGTCATACACATGAGAGACTGTGTTCTGCTTGCACGTGTAACCTTGAAAACTGCAAACAAAGCACACATACAAGAGACCAGGACATTTTGCTGACATTTTGGTACATTGTACTTATACATAGCAGAGGGGAGATGGTTTTTCACTGCTACAGAGCATCCTTTGTCATCAAAATCTACACTGGTTTTAGATCTGAAGTTCAGATTATTCTGTGAATTTTGCCTCATAACTTCTGTGATAAACCCCTACTAAAAGCCTCTCAAATGGGAGATTGCCATCTAGTGGAGGAGAAAACAAGCCTAGTGATTTATCATCATATGTGTGAGCAGACAAGCAGTGGCAAAATTATAAACATGTATTTTCAGTTAACGACTTTTCAGTTAGTTTTAAGGTCTTATTTTTCCTGTTCCTAAAGATTGGCAAAATTCACTTTTAGCACATGTAAAATGTACAATGTTTATTTTTCGGGAAATAGACCAAAAATAATGATGACTCATCTTGTACTACACATGTTTGTCCACTAAAATGCTCTCTATAGTGAGAACACCCTGCTTGCTAACACAACCTGACTAGCAGTAGCAAGCAAGATCTATAATATTTGGAGAAAGCTATTTATTAGCATTTCCATTGACCTCATTGTCTAAATATATGCAAAATAAATGTATTCAGTCACTATATGCAACTCATTTTGAATGGCCATTGATGGAGAATTATGCTTTTTAGAGCCAAATGGTGTAGTTACAGCATCTACCAGCAGGGGCTAAAATAGCATGCCTTGATAGCAAGCAGCAAATCATGGTTCATGGCAGTGATATACCCCAGCAAACACGTTAATGTGGGGCCCAAATGGGTTTCACATGGGCTACAGGGGTACAGAGTGGGCATGGGCATAAAATGGGCATCTTATCTGGGGCCCACTTGGGTAACCCAGCTAGGACCCACATGGGTGAACCCAGGTGGGCTCCCCATGTGGTTCCTAGTTGGGTAATTAATGGGAAATTTGTGCATGGGCTCAAAATGGGCTACACATGGGACCCTATTTGTTTTATCAAATATACAAGTGCAAACATAATTAATCCCATATAGGGTGATTACATGGATACATATAGTGCACATATGTGTCTTTAAAATAATTTTTTATGTCCAGGTTGTTAAACATGCTCTCCCTGACCATCGCATGTGATTCTGATTAGCACAAGTGAAACAGGAGAATTTTAATGCGAGAGAGTCATACACATGAGAGACTGTGTTCTGCTTGCACGTGTAACCTTGAAAACTGCAAACAAAGCACACATACAAGAGACCAGGACATTTTGCTGACATTTTGGTACATTGTACTTATACATAGCAGAGGGGAGATGGTTTTTCACTGCTACAGAGCATCCTTTGTCATCAAAATCTACACTGGTTTTAGATCTGAAGTTCAGATTATTCTGTGAATTTTGCCTCATAACTTCTGTGATAAACCCCTACTAAAAGCCTCTCAAATGGGAGATTGCCATCTAGTGGAGGAGAAAACAAGCCTAGTGATTTATCATCATATGTGTGAGCAGACAAGCAGTGGCAAAATTATAAACATGTATTTTCAGTTAACGACTTTTCAGTTAGTTTTAAGGTCTTATTTTTCCTGTTCCTAAAGATTGGCAAAATTCACTTTTAGCACATGTAAAATGTACAATGTTTATTTTTCAGGAAATAGACCAAAAATAATGATGACTCATCTTGTACTACACATGTTTGTCCACTAAAATGCTCTCTATAGTGAGAACACCCTGCTTGCTAACACAACCTGACTAGCAGTAGCAAGCAAGATCTATAATAAAGCTATTTAGCTATTTATTAGCATTTCCATTGACCTCATTGTCTAAATATATGCAAAATAAATGTATTCAGTCACTATCATTTTGAATTTTTGAATGGCCATTGATGGAGAATTATGCTTTTTAGAGCCAAATGGTGTAGTTACAGCATCTACCAGCAGGGGCTAAAATAGCATGCCTTGATAGCAAGCAGCAAATCATGGTTCATGGCAGTGATATACCCCAGCAAACACGTTAATGTGGGGCCCAAATGGGTTTCACATGGGCTACAGGGGTACAGAGTGGGCATGGGCATAAAATGGGCATCTTATCTGGGGCCCACTTGGGTAACCCAGCTAGGACCCACATGGGTGAACCCAGGTGGGCTCCCCATGTGGTTCCTAGTTGGGTAATTAATGGGAAATTTGTGCATGGGCTCAAAATGGGCTACACATGGGACCCTATTTGTTTTATCAAATATACAAGTGCAAACATAATTAATCCCATATAGGGTGATTACATGGATACATATAGTGCACATATGTGTCTTTAAAATTATTTTTGTTGTTGTTTTGACTCTTGGATTACTTAATCAACATCTAAAAATTCCAACACTCCTGCATTTGTACACAATTTTCCACTGACATTTAGCAAAAAAAAAATGCAGCCACTTTAATTGTGCTGACAACTTTCTCGCTAGATCCCATCCCCCCACCACCTCTCCCTCTCTCTTGTTCGAGATGTTTCGGCACTTCACAGAACGATCGGCGTATGACCCAGCATGCGCTGAATCACGCCGGCGCAATTATTCACTGACCGCTTTGCTGTAATTTTCGGGAGGAGAGGAGACGTTTGCCATCAGTGTATCCAAGGTAAGAATTACAATTTTAAAACTTAAAATGTTGAGCATGTAAATACATTGTTTACAAACCATAATGATAACCGAAACATAGTTTGGCTTTTTGTCACGTTAAAATTTAGACATCATACACAGCTCGCGCCATATTTTCCTCTTATTTCTGGCGCCAATGTCTAAACGATAATGCTGTATGTCTTTGTGTTCCCTACGCCCTCTAAAAGTTAAAGACATTAAAAAAGCTCATATTTAAACTGCAAAGTTTGGCACCGGGCTGTGT